ACCCACTTCCGCATCACAGCGCCCATGCGCTTCCCAGCAGCTCCCAGCCGTGCACGACCGTGCCAACGAGTAGCCCGGGGCCCGACCCAAGCCTTCCTTATATTTTTTCCGAACCTTGTGTGTGCCTTTGACCTGTTTGACTTTGTTTTGCGTGCTAAGTCTTTGTGTGGTGTTTATATGCATTTTGGTCAAGTCTAAGTGTTAGGTCCAAATGTTCCAATGTCCACGGAACTACACAAACTACTTGGTTGAATCAAGTTCGACCAATGTATGATTGTGTTTGTTCTCTAAGGTCAAATAGGTGTTGATCTTAGTGTATTAGCTGTTGTAGGTGTCTGACGAGCCGTGCTCGCTGCCTACTCCTGATTGTGTGCCACTTTCCTTTGCTATACCAGGTGGGTTCTAATCTGAAATTGTCTATGCCATGAATGATGAATGTTTATACTTGTGGGTATGATCTATGTATGAATATGAAATATGTAGCCTATCGATGTGAGCTGTTACGGCCGTCGGTACGGTTGTCCCCGTCGATGTAATACGGTTGCCCTTGTGAGGCAAGTCTCCTTAAGTCCTGATATGGCCGTGCCCTTGCAAGGTACGTAAGCCCGTATGGTAGGTCGTGTCCGTAGCGTGGCATGTACTCCCGCCTTCGGGTAATGAATTCCCGTTCTGCGGCTAGCGATAGATGTGCACAGGAGTAATGTGGTTGTTGTGATTTTGATAGGAGATGAGACATGATGTGATTATCTTATATTCATGCTGCGACCATACCATTTGACATGTGTTATTTATGTGCATAGTATTGAGCACTACGTTCATTTTGTGCTCACTCCCACCTGCTCTTCACGGATGCAGGTTAAGCAGGTGCCGGATGATGGGAGAAAGACGAGTGGGTTGGTCACGATTTATATGTTTATGTTTTCGCTTCCTTTATGAATGAAGTGTGGTCCTTGAGACGTGTTGAACTGTTTTCAAACTTGTCCGTTTCGGGATTTTTGGACCCTTTGTTTGATATTCGTATGAGAGTTATTTATTGAATATCATGTGTTTTTGATTATGCATGCTATGTGGTTAGTGAATAATCATGTGGAATTGAATTTTTAGAGCTTTAATGAAAGCCATGTGAACAACCAGATACGTCTTGGTTGATGTTAAATGTTGTATAACGCCCATGTTTTCGAAAATGAGTTCGAAAAATTTTATACTGGTTTTTGGAAAGTCCAGAATTTCTTTAAAATCAAAGTGTGGTGTTACAGCTGGGGTCGCCGGTCGCCGGCAATGAAGTTGCGCCGGCCAACAGGCGCTGAGGGAGGGCCAGCAAGGTCATGTGTGGGGATGGGTTGGCAGTTGAATCGGGCTGGGCTGGGGGGAAAAGAGTGGCAACATGGAGTGTGGGGGTGGGCTGAGATCTGGTGGGATGGAAAGATTGGATTATAGGAGTCCTAAAATCAGCGGCCCGGGTTGAGATAGGGTGTGAGGTTGCAGGCTGAAGTGAGAGAGAAGGGGCTGCGAGGTTGCTGTATGAAGGGTGGGGATGGGCTGTTGAAAGAAAGGTAGAGATGGGTTGAAAATTTGGCCAAAAGAGGGTGGGCTGGGGAGAATATAGGGATGAAAAAGGCCCAATATAAGGGATGTGGGCTGAAAAGGTTTAGGGGAAAGGTGGGCTGGGGAGCTGAAAAGGATTGGGCTGAAAAAGGGTGGGACGAATAAAGCCGGCGGGCCTGGGAGATGGGTTGGAAGCTGTGGGTTGAGGAGACGCCACGTGGCTAGGGAGCTGAGGGTTTTGGGAGATAGGGGATTTGCGCCGCTAAAAAACTCCTTGGACAGCGGCATGTTCACTTTGACTGGTGAAAGGATGTTTTTCGGCCCGATAACTGCCGGAATGGAACCAAAGCTAACCAAATCCTCGCTTGAACTAATGGCCGGGGGGAGATCCGAACCACTGCAGGTTGAGGCGAGGATGTCCGGATCTGCAGCTACAGCTAAAGGCGTTTTCCCAGAGGAGAAGGGAAAGATACCTGCGTCGAGGACTCTTACAAGCGAACCGGAATTGATTTTCATAAAGGCCAAGATGGCTTTGCCAAAGTCGGGGTGCTCGAAAAGTTTGCTAAAATCTGGCGACGGGTGATTTGACGGAACTGCGGGATTGAATGACGGAGAAGAAAGGGTTAAGGCCGGCGCCTCGAGGGACGACGGTAGGGGGGTGGAGAGCGGAGACCTAGAATTGCCTCCGTCAGCGGCGGCGACCGACGATTGGCCTAGGACGAGCTGTTGGACGGCAAAGAAGTGTAAGGTTCTGTTAGGAACGTCAAACAACATGCACAGTATTGAACTTTATCGAAATAAA